GATGGGGTATGCGTGTTAGAGGGGACGCACAGCAGCTTGGTGAACTTTCATTAATCACATATTTTAAAAGAGGTTAAACATAGACTAATCATATGACTTAGCAAGTCCGCCCCTAAAGACATCCCCAAGAGAAATGAAAACATGTTTACAGCCCACTGTTCATAATAGCCAGAGGGTGGAAATCATCCCAATGCCCTGTTGTCCATAAACAATGTGGCATAGCCATACGATGGAATGTTCCTGAGCCATAGAAAGGAGGGAAATACTGGAATATGTTAGAACAGCGATGAGTCTTAGAAACGTGATGGAAAAGGAAAGCAGTCGCTCACAGGTGACCACAGATTGGAGAGTGAATTCAGAGCAAAGTCGTCATAGACAAATAGAGAGAGATGGCTACAGGGGCTGGTTGGTTGGGGCTGGGACAGCCGAAGGGTGTCTTCGGGGAGCGATGGAAATGTTCTGAACCTGGTTGTGGTGATGGCTGTCAACTCCATAATACACTAGACACCAGGGATGGTCGCCTTTAAAAGGGAGAGACGCATAGCTCGCCGATTCGATCACAACGAAGCAGTGATGGGGAACACGCAAGAGGAGCAGCCAAAGAAATCAAACGCAGGTGAGATCTTTCCTGTCCACGGAGAAGCATCCTGGCTGCAAAAGGAATGAAGAAAGCTGGGTTTCGTACTTTTTAATATTGGTGCAAACCATCCACTCAATGTCAGGAAGAGGGGTTCCTCCAGCCGTGCATCTCACAGTCTGTCCCCCGGTAGAGCCATGGTGGTCATCAACCAAGTCCAGAATGGAGGAGGGAACTGGAAGAGGTTGAAGGAAGTCAGAATTGAAGGGTTCATGCCCCAGAACTCCGGCGGCTGCAAACGGGGCGCCCCAGTTCAGACCCTGTCCGTGTGTCAGACCAACCTACAGATGAAGTAACCACGCTAAAGGGGCAGGACACCGGCTGCATGGGCCACGGTGCTCTAACTAGGACAGGCCCACCTTTGGAGCTGGGTGCCCTGAGGGATTTCACATCTGGAGTAAGCAAAGGGAAAAGACTCCATGGTATTTGGCTGCAGGGCAAGGAGGCTCTTAAACAAATTAATATGACAGTTTGGGATTCAATGAAGGGATTCAGCTACAGTATCAAAGAACACAACAATTACCCAAGTAGATCTGTGGAATGATGTGAAGTTTTAAAGAGTATGTTTAAAACCGGTTGTCAAGGTCGTGAGGGGCACGCTTAATGGGCAGATGAGCTCAGCCCTGGGCACACAGTAGGCACTCAAGGAATAGAAGCTAACCCTGCATACGAACAGGCTTGGGCACTCCGTAAGGGTAGGGGCCACTGTACAAGGTCTACCAGGAAAACTAAGCAAAAGGTCAAACTCTCCAGAACAATCTACGGCCACCAAGATCAATAGGCACTCCTTTCGCTCATCCCAGAGCGGGAGGTGCCCTCCTGAGACATGGGTGCTGAGGAAGATGTTAGAGGCGAGGCCTCCCCATCTAGGCAGTTCTAGAGTATCCCAGAACCTCCCCGAATTATCTGAAGTCACAAGTTCAACAGCGCTATGGTCAACATCCTCGCTTCCCCCGCTAACTTGTTGTATCCCCCTCCTCAGCTTAACAGGAAAGCGCTGGTTCTCTAAGTCCCAGGTATCTTCCCACGGCCTTTACATACCTTGAGTTATTAGTTCAAAAGTATAGTTCTTCACATCATCTTTGTTTTTAACCACAATGGTATAATGGCCGCTGTCTTCTTCTTTCGCACGGATCAACTTTAACTTACTTCGATACCTTCAAAGAAAAGGACGTTTTGCTTCAACAAGTATTAGCTACATACATCGCAACAATGATGGAGCCATTACAGTATGGGATTAAAATACCATGTTGTGAAAAGTCCAAAAGTACCCACTCCCCCCGCCCTTTTTTGGGGGATGGGGGGAGACACCGCATCTCTTTTTGGAGATTCTCAGGACGTTTCCGAATGTGGACGATTACTGCAGTCACAACAACAGAAAACTAGGCATATGGTGAGCTGAGGACGCGCTGGCAGAGCTCCAAGAACAATCAGCTCTGACTCCTGGATGACAGTAAACCGTGCTATCCGTTTTCAAAACGACGACCTTTTGCTCTTTAAAGAACTATTCGGTTCCCGCCAGAGCTGTATTACCGGCGTGGCACAGTCCCACAATGGAACAGCCCTGGGAGACAGGAGAGCCGGCGCTCTCTGCGCATGGACACAGAGCGGGGGCTGTGACAGGGCGTTTCCACTTGCTTGCATTTACTTGAAAGAAACCCTGGCAGCTCTCACAGAAACGAATGGACGCATTGCCTAGGGTGGGTGGGGAGGAGCAGAGCTGGAAAGGTCGCCCACAGGAGCCGACTGGACAAAGAGCACTGGTCCTTATTTACATGAGATTAAGGAACCTTACTGGTGGCTTGTTAAGCGACTGCTGTCAGCCCAACAGTTGGCAGTGGTTTGAAGGCACCAGCCTCCCCTCGAGGGAAAGACACGGCTGTCTGCTGCTGGGAAGATTGACAGCCTGGGAAGCCCTATGGAGTTGTTCTGCTCTGCACTTCCGGGTCGCGAGGAGTCACGATCAAGTTCGTGGAGTGAGTTAAGCGGAATTGTATGTGAGCGCATTTAGGAGGCTCAACAGAGAACCCTCTGGAAATGCGAAAGCACCCTGCCCAAGAGGCCGAGGCTGGGATCCTAGGGGAGAACGCCGCGGGGCGGCTTTCCCTCTGCGACGCCAAAGTGAGCGCTTCAGGCCTGGGCTTCTCAAAGTGCCCCCCACGCCGGTCTCCAAGGGCACAACCTTCCCAACTCCGTCCTTTCCTGCACTCCTCTCTGTCCAAGGCGGCCGCGGGGACAGAGGCAGGTGAGAATGGTTAATGCTTCTTCATTTGATCTCCCTGTGGACTGATTTTGAATTTGTTCCAGCTCTTAATATTTTATGATCTCTTTTCAATCAAGGTTTTTCCTCTGTTTTCTTTTGTCCTTGTTGTGAGGGGGGTTTGTTGTTTGTTTTTGTTTTGGGTTGGTTTCTGGATTTTGTTTTGTATGTTTCTTCAGTATACGAAGTTCATAGAGCCGGGACTGGGTTAATAATTACCTAGAGACATGGCAGGGGAGGTTAGGGGGAATTGGAGGGCTAACAGCTATGAGTATGAGAAAGAAGAAAATGTTCCACAATTTACCATGGTAACGACTGCACAACCCTCCTTAATCAAACTATTGGATTGTATGATATAAGAATTGAATGCCAGGAACTATATGTGACCTCCTCCCTGGGGGACGGACAACAGAAAAGTGGGTGAAGGGAGATTTCGGACAGGGCAAGATAGGACAAAATAATAATTTATAAATTATCAACGGCTCATGAGGGAGGGGGGAGCGGGGAGGGAGGAGAAAAATGAGGACCTAATGCCAGGGGGCTTAAGTAGAGAGGAAATGTTTTGAGAATGATGAGGGCAATGAATGTACAAATGTGCTTTCCACAATTGATGTATGTATGGATTGTGATAAGAGTTGTATAAGCCCCTAATAAAACAATTATTAAAAAAAAGAATTGAATGCCAAGAAGGGGGGAAAAGGTGGCCTCATGGGAAGAATGGCTTTAAGCTCCATGAAGGCGGGGCCCCAACCGTGTTGCTCGTCCTGTGTCGTCTCCCAGTTCTTAACGGAAATGGAACCAGCTGATGCTGAAGGAATTCTTGTGCCCCTTCCACCGGCAGTTTTCCAGAACTTGCCTCTTCACTACGATTGCTTACGATGACTTGCAGACACATACGTTTGGCGTGCGAGCTGTGCCAGAAAGCCCTGACCTTCGCCTTCTCACAGTAGTCAGTGGGAGGTCTGGCACTGCCCCCCTCGTTGTATACCCTCTGCTCAGCCCATCAGCGGTCTTCCAGCTTCAGCCTTCTGCTTCCTTTTCAACCACTGTTCAACAGCATCGGGGCTAATCCATTGTCTTCAGGACATAGATATCTTGAACCCCACCTTATAGATGAGGAGATAGAAGCTGAGGGGTGACTCGTTCAGAATTTCACCACCAGTTAAGATGTGGAGAATAGTCTACTGGCACAAAAGGCTGGGATCGAAATGAACCAGTGTGTGCCTCTCACCTAAACAAACTTAACTAGGCTCTACTCTTCTTTCCTACATAGGCCAGGATGGGAGCAAGGGAGTTTCTAATTAAATCCTCGATGCTTCATTTCATGCACTGTTTATGTGATAATTGCCTTGGCAACTGCAATCACCACTATACAACTGGATGATGGGCAACAAAAGCAAACCCAAATCATTGCCGTCAAGTCGATGCCAACCCATAGCAACCACAATCCGACTGCTTGCACATCCCAGGTCGCAAGACAGGACGAGCTGCTCCTGTGAATTTCCTAGACCATGACTCTTTATAGAGTAGAGAATCTCTTGTCTTTCTCTTTTGGAGCTGGCTGGTGGTTCCAAACTACTAACTTTGCGCTTAACAGCCCAACACCTAACCACCGTGCTATCAGGGTCCTGATGGACAGAAAAGTTAGTCCAATTTCACACCCTTGCTTCCATTCCTAACTGAAGCCAGTAAACTGTGTTTCTGTGGGAGGCCACGCTTCTCAGCTATCCTCTGTTTGCATTTTATCATTACACACTAACACAACTGTTACCACATGGCATGGTTGGCTTTCAAGAGACCGACTTCCATTATTTCTTAGCTCGGCTTGTGAAGCCTGCAGGCGTGACTTCTGGTTTGGGTGGCAAGGCAAATGCACATGCCTCTGTCTCTCTGGGCCCCACCAGGAGCTGCAAAGCCGTGACGAGGGAGGGCCTGTGGTTACCTTGTCTCCTGAACCTTTTTGACATCGGTAGTGATCTCCGTCAGGTTTTCAATCAGCGTCAGGTTGTTCTTCAGCCAGGATATGCTCGGGGCAGGGTAGGCCTCTATGGTCACCACAAAATGCTTCACCTCGTGCAAGTTGACAGTTTCCAACGGGCTGAAGTCAGGCTGGATGTCAACAAACCCTCTCTCTGTATGGAAAGAGGTTTCCATTAAATCATAATTACCACGTGTCGGGTTTCAGGTGGCACGGGCACGTGAAGGGTTAGGAAGCAGCCTGTACCATGCACAGAAATGGTGACTTTCTTCATTTCCTTGACCTCCCCGGTGGCCTGGGTGGCTGTGCACTGGTAGTCCCCACTGTCTTTCACCGTGGCATCGGGCACAGTCAGTGTGTTCACCAGCTTCAGGGTGGGCACCCTATACTCGTCGAGCAGTATGAGGCCTTTCTTTCTCTACAAAAGGGGGGGAAAGAGGCTTAAAAACAAAAAACAGCTGGCTGTGTAACGCTCACAGGGGTATTTCATGACCCAGGAAGGGGTGTGCCTCGAGTCCCGCTGAGGGAAAGTCAGCCACAGATGACAACCTCCCTTCATTATTAAACACGCATGTATATGGTCATGGGCACTCTGGGGGCATAGTGGGTTACCTGTTGGGCTGTTAACCACAAGGTTAGCAGTTCCAAGCCACCAACTGCTCTGCAGGAGAGAGATGAGGCTTTCTACTCCAGGGAAGAGTTGCCATTTCGGGAACTCGCAGGGGCAGGTCCACCCTGCCCTAGAGGGTCACCTTGAACCGGCATCCACTCGGTGGCAGTGAATTTGGAGTTTTAAGGTCACAAACTGCATCGCGACGTCTGCTCTGACAAAATCCGACTGCTTGCACATCCCAGGTCCCAAAGGGTTATAACAGCAAACCGCATGCCATCAAGCAGATTCAGACTCATGGCGACCCTCCAGGACAGGGTAGAACTGCCCTGTGAGTTTCTGAAACTGTAACTCTTTACAGGAGAAGGAAGCCTCATCCTTCTACTGCAGAGGGGCCGGTGACTTGGAACTACTAACCTTGAAGTTAGCAGCCCCACATGTAGCCTACTGGGCCACCAGAGCGCCTTCGGGTTGTAAGAGTTCAGAAACCCCCATGGGAGGACGGGATGCAGAGAGCACACCAGCTTCCTGCACGCAGCACAATCGTCTCAGGTCTCTTGTGTACAGAGCACTAGTTCTGTCCAGTGGGATGGCGTAGGACATATGTAACCTAGAACCTGAAGTTTAAACTATAACGGCATCTCGCCCACACATTTCTGAAGTTCCCTAGGCTGGCGCTCCACTCTGACAAACACGGGGGCAGCACATGGCAGGACCAACTTGAGGGCAACGGGCTTGGTTTGGGGTCTGTGTATACAGTCAACCAAAGCAAACTCACTGCCCTGAGCCCATGCCGAGGACGCACAGCCACCCCGGGGCCAGCACAGCACTGCCCTGCAGGTTTCCCAGACTGACCCTCCTCAGCTCTTTACGGGAAGAGACAGCCTCGTCTTTCTCCCAAGGAGGAGCTGATGGTTTTATTTTTATTAAAACTAGAAGGAAAAAATTCAAAGAATTCATCTCCCCAAAATGTTAACAGTGACACTCTGAGATGCTTGTCCTCGGCTTCTCTTTATTTTACAAAATTTCAATAGTAAACCTTCATCAGAATAAAAAATAAGGTTCTTTATGTAGATATTGGGGGGGACAAGTGGCATGTATTTGGGGTTGGAAAAAATACCTACCACCCATATATGGTAGGGAAAAAAATCTATGTTTTAAGGGTTAAAGGCCATTAAATATCAAAAACTATATATATAGATATAGATATAGATATATAGATGTGTGTGTGTGTGCTTTTTAATTAGCCTGATGTTTTAGGAGAGATGCACACACATGGAAGGTTGACTCCCATTTCAATAAGCTTCATGCTTATTGAAGTATGTGAATACGCCCAACATTCCATCAGGGCCCTCAGAAAGAAAGGAAGAGCAACCGTAAGGAGTGAAGGAGACAAACAGCTCAAAGGAGGGTGAGAAGTGGAAAACAGAAGAGAAAATCACCGACTGCATTTAAAAAGCAAGAAAAGTCAAGAAGCATGAAGCCACAACTCAAGAGTAAAGGAGGAAAAAACAGCCACAGTCATTTCATTTCCCCTGGGACGTCTCAGCTATCGGGGAAATCAAAGGGCCCTGGTTATTTGCAGCTTTGCTAATGTTCCGGTTGTTTTCTCGTAGGCACAGAGCTCCTCCTTCTTTCTGACTCTTGGAAAGAAAGTGGGGTGCCCCATCTGCAGGCATTCTGAAGGTCCTGATCCAGCTAGTCACCTCAAAGCCCTGCCCTGATCCAAGAACCTTATAGGTCATTGTTATGGGGTCATTGTTTGGTGTCTCCCACCAAAATAGGTGCTGAAATCTCTGCCTGTGGCTGTCACCCTATTTGGAACCAGGGTTTCCTTGTTCACGAGGTCCTATCAATGCAGGGGTGTCCCACGTGCAATCACTGCCGAGTAATGACAAGTCCAGAGACCCAGTGAGCACAAACTGGGAAGAGAGATATATGGACGGACCTGGGAGCCCCTAACAACCCAAGATGAAAGAGGCCAGGAAGAAGCTCCCTCTAGAGCCTCACCCAGTGTATGCTTTGAAGTTGCCCACGGGTTGGTCTTTCTGCTACAACAGGCCTAAGAAGGGAAAGAGTCCCTGGTCAACTGTGCTCCTGAGAGATGGAAAACTGAGGTCTAGAAACGTGACGGGGAAGAGACAAGAAGGGAAGTAGACATGGCAGGAACCCCTGTGCTCTGGGTCAGCCCCGCTCCACGGCCCCACGGGCCTTGACGGTGCCTACCACTTGTCCAGGGTAAGTCCACTGAAAGTCTACCACCTCGTTGTTGAAGACTGCACAACTGACCACAATCTTCTCCCCGGCCGTGTACACCGTTTTAAGAGCTTCCATTTCCAGGTCGAGATCTGATGCTGGGATACAAAAAGAACATTGTTGTTAAGACTCTCTGAAGGTTTGGGGGTTGGTTTGTTTTTGTTTTGTTGGTATTGTTTTTAGTAAGTGCTATGAGTTTTGTGTGTGTGTGTGTGTGTGTGTTGTCTGTTTTCAAGAAACCCCTGGAAAATAATTTGCAGACCAGTTTGTTCAAGAGGGATTCTTTTAAATACCCTTAACTTTCGTTTCTTTAAAAATTATTAATTTGGCATTGGAGTACACAGTTTGACATGTAGTTGGAATACAGAGCCCCTAGGTGGTACAAATCGTTCACCTACTGAGCTGCTCTGTTTCAGTCCACCCAGAAACATCTGGGGGGGGAAGACCAACAGATCCGATTCTGATAGGTTAGCCATTGAGAGCCCAAGAGAGCACAGCTCTCTGACATGCATGGGGTTGACGGAAGGCGGAGCTGATGTGGTAGTAGGTGATGCTGTGTACAGGACCCCTGGTGGCAGTGATTACAGGTTGGGATTCAATCCGCAAGGTCTGCAGTTTGAAACCACCAGCTGCTCCTCGAGAGAAAGATGGGGCTTTCTATGCCCCTAAACAATTACAGTCTCGGAAACTCACAGGGGGCAGTTCTACCCCGTCCTACAGAGTCACTATGAGTCGGCATCGCGTCGATGCCGATGAGTGTGGTGAGTGATGTGGGTGTAACAGAGAAAGACAGAGCAATGATAATAACAGCAATAAATCGCCTTTCACTATCAGAGCATAGACTGCTAAGCCCTAGGATGAATCATGATGAAATTATTTTGTAATCAACCTGATACTTTAAAGTCACACTGCTATCAAATCAATGCTGACTCGTAGTGACTCTATAGGACAGGACAGGGCAGCCCCTGTGAATTTCTGAGAATGTAACTCTTTATAGGAGTAGAAAGCCCCATCTCTCTCCCATGGAGCAGCTGGTGGCCTGAACCACAGATCTTGCAGATCACAGCCCAACGCGTACCCACTACACCACTAGGGCTTCTATGTTTAAAAATAGTGTCCCCATAATTAATCCAAATGCTCAGAAGTATATGTTCTTGTCACTCAAGTTATGCATTGCTGCTATTACTGTTTTAGATTTTGATGAGTCAGAATTAACTCAATGTCAGTGAGTTTAGTTTCTTATCACCTTGGTTACACAGCGATTACGCCTTGGGCTGCTAACCACAAGATCAGCAGTTCAAAACCTCTCCAGCCTCTCCCTAGGAGAAAGACAAGGCTTTCTTACTCTCGTAAAACGTTAACTGTCTCAGAAACCCACAGGGGCAGTTCAACCCCTTCCCACACGGTCGCTCTAAGTCAGAATCAACTCAATGGCAGTGAGTTTTTGAACTTTTGCTGATGTAGTTCTTCATTTATTCAACCAACTTTTCCAGACTGCCAGTCTTGCAGACACTTGGATCCTAAGCCCATCACTTATTCTCCTCCTCTTTCCCAGTTATGATCAGCACTTTTCCAGATCCTAACACAGAGCCTGGCACAACCTAAGCCCTTAATAGTATTTACCTGGCATCCTCTGGCTGCTGCCCACCTGCCTGTTCACAAGCAGTGCTCCAGAAAGCTATGCTGACCTGAACCTGCAAGGACAGTTTCGTATGTACACTGACCACTGCATCAAAGGATGGAGCAGACGATGCAAAGTGTTTCAGGAAAAAAAAAAAAGCACTTCTCTGAAATTACAAAAATTAATCCAGGGATCCAAACCCTGGGAATATATCTTTGTTTTGGGATTTGGTTTTTTGTTTTGTTTTTGTAGGGGGGCAGGGGCATGGGGAGCACCGTGGCCAAGAATGTGAGTAAGAGGCTTACGGAAGAAAGGAATTCCTTACAGTGTTTTGACATCAACTAATGAAACATGAAATCTTACAGAGGTTAAGAAAGCTTTTAGCACCTTCAGTAATTTCACGCTCAATATTACCAAAGCCCCAAAGGTCAAGCGCGTGTTGTACAGGAAACCGCAGGATCCCAACACCCCAAATGGTAATTCACCACCTCCATCACCGACGACTGTGGTTTTTAAAATGTGACATGCGGCATTGGTTTCGGTTTGGGTTTTAAGGCGAACGACAAGATGGAAAAAGTACCTTTTAAAGCATACATGTTGAAGGGGGGCGTGTAGAAGGTCCTCCCGTTGACAGTGGCCTTACATGTGTAAGGCCCATGGTTGAAAGTTCCGTTAAAGCCCAGTTTGCTGTCGTAGGAGACGTTCACCACCCCAGCCTCATTGAGCAGGACCACTGGGGTCTGCGGGTCCGTCGTGCGACATGGTATGATGGCAAAGTCATCCTCAATCACCAGGACTAAGTAATCCATCACATCCAGAGGTACGAAGGCTATACCTGGGTCTGTGGTAAAAAGTTTTTAAATGCATTAGGCATTGTCTTGTCTCCAGACATGCACCGGGGCCACCCTGGCATCTCCACGAGATGGAACACTTTCTCTTCACCCCTGTCTCCGGAAGTCTGCCGCTCCCCACCCCCACCCCAGGCTTTAGTCGCCAAACAGCTAGAAGGTGACTGAAAGTGTGCATAATACCAGAAGGCCTGAAACTCAATAAACGTGTTGAAAAACAAAAACTGATGATAAATAGCAATAGTAGCCAGGAAATTCAAATCAGAATCCAAACCGGAACGCAAAACAAAAATAGACATTAACATAACAGCGTTCAACTCTTTTTGAGGGAAGAAGAAGCAAGAGGGAAAGTCTCATCATTAAAAAGCAATTAAAGAAGATATGAAAATAATAATTTTTTTTAAAAATTTGTTAAGAAAGTAATAATTTATCATTTATTGGGGATCACAAGGGTGGGAGGAAAAAAATGAGAAGCCAATACCAACGGCTCCCAAGTAGAAAGAAAATGTTTTAAAAATGATGATGGCAACATATATACAAATGTGCTTGATACAATTAATGTACAGATTGTTGTACGAGCTGTAAGAGCTCCCAATACAATGATTTATTTAAGAAAGAATGCAATGCTTTTGAAAACTGGACTGCTCACTCCAAGGTCAATGGCTTCGCCCCCAGCTGCTTGGTGGGACAAAGGTGAAGCCATCTGCTCCTGTAAAGGTGGACAGCCTTGGAAACCC